TATACCATCCATGTCTTTATCCAAACCAGTGATAAAAAGGTTAATTACAGGGTCAAAGAGAGAGATCCCTAAGCCACTATACTGGAGACCTTCTAAGTTGACATTGAACTCTTTTGTGTTTTTTTTTTTCAGGTTATAAATTTTATTTGAAATCCTTTAATTTCTTTTGGATAGCATCACATTCTTTGAGCAACCTGATATTTTTAGACTGGCCCTGACTAGCTCATGGTATTGATTGTATCCTATAACTAGACATTGTTATAGACAAACTAAGTTCCGTGCATTGGAATATATTAGAAGTATCTTTATATTTTATTTATTTACTCTTTCCAGGTGTCCTAGACATTCCTGATGATCATCTTAATATTTTCTCAACTCTGACTTTTTTTATCTTTTTTAAATTTTTAATTAACTTATTTTGAATTATCAACAATCACTTCCATAAGCTTTTGAGTTTAAAATTTTTCTCCCTCTCCCTCCCCACCTCCCTCCCCAAGATGACACACAATCTGATATAGGCTATACATATATATTCCTATTAAACATATTTTCACATTAGTGATGTTGTAGGTAAGAATTAGAACCAATAGGAAGAACCACCAGAAAGAGGAAACAAAACAAAACAGAAGAAAAAAAAAGAGCAAATAGTACACTTCGATTTGCATTCAAAATCCATAGTTCTTTCTTTGGATGTGGAAAGCATTTTCTATCATGAGACCTTTGGAGATGTCTTAGATTCTTGTATTGCTGAGAAGGATTAAGTCTGTCAATATTAGTCATCACACAATGTGGTTGTTATTGTGTACAACGTTCTCCTGGTTCTGCTCATTTCACTCAGCATCAGTCTATACTTGTATAGACTTTCCAGGTTTTTCTGAAGTCTGCCTGCTCATCATTTCTTATAGCACAATAGTATTCCATCACATTCATATACCACAACTTGTTCAACCATTCCCCAATGGATGGGCATCCTCTCCATTTCCAGTTATTTGCTGACATTGACCTCTTGATGACTTCTCCTTGGCTGTAGCCGTTTAGCTAGTTCTGAAGCCACCTAACTAACCATCTAGCCCACGTCACCCCAAACTATGCACAAGAACAACACAAGAAGCTTTTGCAAGCTCTGTTCAAATCTAGGTTAACTTATACGGACAGAATTACTGTGACAGACCAGTCAAATGACCCCACTGAAAAAAGGAAAAGGAATTCACTGCTCCAGTGAAGCCATGCCAGCTCTTTGCAATCAGCTCTCCCTTTTTCTAGGGGTTCATTAACCGCCCCTTTAATATTGTCGATGATTTTGCCAGAGATGAAAGCCATGCTCCCTGTCCCCTCATTTTCTGACTCCCTTGTCTTTCACTGTAGATGGGAAGTTGGCACAGAGGGACAAACAAGCCTGGCGAGAGAAACTGGAGGCCTATGAGAAAGACCACTGGGCCTGGGTCTCATTGCCTGCTCTTCTAGATAACAGCTGCATTACCTTAGGCGAGTCACTCCTACTTTGTGAGCCTTGGTTTCCTCATCTGTAAAAGGATAGGTTTTAACTAGATGATTTCTAATGACCCTGCAAGCTCTATCCCCTCCAGAATCAATTTGAAAATCCTCTGTTTGGCTTTCAAAGCCCTTCATGATCTGGCCCCTTTCTGCCTTTCCAGTCTTCTTCATATGCTAAAAATGTACCCTGCCATGCAGTGACACTATCCTCCTCGCTGCTCCTCAAACAAAACTCTCCGTCTCCCAATTCTGTCCACTTTCACTGGCCGTCTTCCCTTCACTCCCCGTCTGGAACTCTCTCTCCATCTGTGCCTCCTGGCTTCCCTGGCATCCTTTACATCTCAGCGACTCGCCCCACCTGCTGCAAGAAACCTCTCCCGGTCTCACTCAATCTGAGTCTTCCTTTGAATTACTCCAAATTTACCCTTTAGCTATCTTGTGTTCGTTCTTAGTGGTTTGTGCTTTGTTTCCCTCTTTCGACTTTGAGCTCCTTAAAGGCAAGGACTTTCTTTGTATTCACAGATGACTGACTATCTGACAGACACATTCTGTAATTCTTCCTGCAAAGGATGGGAAGAAGGAGCCCAGCCTGACTTAAGGGAAGGGACCTGCAAAGAGGAGGTGGGCCTGGAGCTTGGGATGTCAGGCTGAGGATCTGGACTTTTTGCTGTGTGTGATGGGTACCTGTTGAAAGCATCTAAGCTAGGGAAGGTCCTTATCAGAGCTGGGCTTCAGAGAGTTCACTCTGGCCCTTTATACAGGAGGAAAATAAGTAAGCAGGCCTAGAGAAGGAGCCCCATCTCCTTCCTCTGTAGTAGTCCAGGCAGAAGGAAATGAGTCTAATACTCAGAGGCTCAATGGAATCAAAGAGAGGATGGATATGAGACACCTTAGGATGCCACAGCTGGGGGAAGGGTTCCTGCTCCCCTTTCTGACCTGAGGCTTCTGAGGGGATCAAAATCGATCCCCTTTCCTCAGGAGTCCAGCAGCTGCTCAGGCTATCTACCCCCCTACCAAACCTGGCATTTGGAGCCCCAGGGAGGCAAGGGAGTGCGTGTATTGATGAGATGAGAAGGGGATGCTAGATTCAAGAAATGGATGCTGCTGTCTTAGGACCTGGGGGAGGGAGTTCTGACACTCCATAAGGGGAGAACAGCATCCCTCCTGGTCAGTGGCAGAAGCAAGCAGGCCCTGCTGTGTTCAGGCCACATCTGGAGAGCTGTATCAGCGTCTGAGGAGAAACGTGGACAAGCTAGAGAGTGGCTCTTTTGCCTTACAAACAAGGGGAGGGGTGGGGGACAGGTGGGGAGGGGAACTTTGGGAAAGAAAGGAGGAGTTCTCTGAGGCTTTGACCAGAGGCCCGGGGAACAGGGGAAATTGAGAAACTTGGTCCCAGGATTTGATTCCCCACTGGATAATTTATTAGAGGAGATAAGAAGCAGACAACTGCCAGCCGAAGGTTAACCCAGCCAGGGACCCAATTACAATGATGGGAAAAGGGCCTGGGTTGGAGGAGAAGATCATCAGTTTCCAGCTCTGAGGGCCAAAGTCACCTTGCCACGTGTGGCACTGACCTGATCACATTGCTCCCCAGTCAGGAATCTTCCGTGCTTCCCTGTCCCTCACCCCAACCCAGGGTCTGGCCCTGGGCACCTCTCCAGCCCTCTCTCGCCCTGCTCCCTGCACCATCCCTCTGCTCCTGGCAAGTCTCCAGATCCTTGTTAATGTCCTTTCCCAATCCCCTCCCATCCCTGCCCCTAATCTCGGTTATCTCCTCTCTCCTCTCTGCTTTTTTAGCCTTCAAGGCCCAGCTCAAGCCCTTCCTCCTCCAGGAAGCCTTCCTTAGCCACCCCAATCCTCTGTGGTTTTCTCCTTCCTTGAATCTCCAACAGCCCTGACTGTGTGGCCCGTGGCCCACACATGACAGCATGGGATCATAGGATGCATCTCTGTGCCACGTGTGGGAGTCATTCATTTCCCCAGTCAGATTGTGAACTTGCCAAAGGCAGGCAGGAGGGACTGTGCCAACCCCCACAGCCCAGGACCCAGAACACCAGGGGACCCAGGAACAGCAACATGGGCAGAGAAGGGGACAGACCCAAGCTCAGGGAACTGCTGAGAAGTGTGGGATGCTTCATCCCAGGGAGGCTGAGGCGAGGACCAGAAAGGGATGCTACCCCAGCCCCGTGGAGGGAGCAGTACTGTGGAAAGAGAGCTGGGCTTGGACCCAGGGGGCTCGCACTGCTAGCTCACCCCGTGACCACAGCCAAGTTACCTTCTCTCTCTGAAAAGTATGTACTTCCCAGGATTGGGTTAGGAAAGTGCTTGGCAAACCCTTGACGCCTCAAAAGGCCTCTAAGTGGTGCAGTGGACAGGCTGGGCCTGGAGTCAGGAGGACCTGAATTCAAATCCAGCCTCAGACGCTTACTAGCTGTGTGACCTCGGGTCACCTAACCTCTGCCTCACTTTCCTCAACTGTAAAATGGGGATAATAAGAGCACCTCCCTCACAGGATTGTTGTGAGGATCAAATGAGGTAATATTTGTAAAGTGCTTAGTCTACTGCCTGTCACATGGTAGGTGCTTAAATAAGCATTGTAATGAATGCTTATTCCCTCCCTCAGGATCAGGAGTTTTTATCATTATTATTATTATTACTGTTATAATAATAATTATTATTTTTACTACTATTACTATTATAGCAGAAGTGTGTGGGACTTAGAAGAAAATCCTGAGACTCTGATCCCCAGATTGCCTTTGCCAAATAAATACTCCCCACCCACCACCCTCCGCCCTCCTGAGGGGTTCAGACAAGGCAGTTGGCCCCTGACTTACCGGGTGACTTTTAACAGGTCCTGTCCCTTGTCTCGGACTTATCTTCTCTCTGGAAGATGATTAGCTGGTCTCTAAGGCAGGATCATCCCCACCTCTGACTTTCTCTGTTCCAGGCTCATCCCATTTGACATTTAAAAAGCCTTCTTAAACTTTACTCCTTTCCGTGTTCTCTACAACACAACCTCTCTGGTCCTTTCTCCATCTCCCATCTCCGTGCCTTTGCACTGGCTATCCCCCAGGTTCTCCTTCCTCACCTCTACTTCCCAGTTTTCCCCGGCTTGCTTAAAGACTTGACTGAAATCCCACCTTCCACAGGAAGCATTTCCCGATTCCCCACCTCCCTCTCCTTACCCTACCCAGTGCCTTCCCTTTGATATTACTATTCATTGTATTGTTTACATCTTTTTGTACGTTAGTTATTTACATACTATCTATCCCCCCCTATTAGAATGTGAGCTCCCTGAGATCAGGTATCATATTTCTGCCTTTCTTTGTATTCCTAGCACAGTGCATGGCATATAGTTAGAGCTTAATAAATGCTTGTTGACTGACTGCCATCCTCTGGTCTAAGGCCCCTTCCCAGCTCTGGTGTTCCCTGTTGTAAGTTCCTTTCTGGCTGACTCCAAGATTCTACCATTCCATTATAACTGATATTCCTGTCTTTACCCCCAGGGGTGTCCTTGAAGGGGACACCAGTGTGCCAGGCAGAGGCCATCCTACAACCACACATCTTTTCCAAGTTTTGCCAGGGAATGGGGCTGTGAGCCCTGCTTTTGCCATGTGCCTGCCAGGGGAAGTGGCCCCATGCCTGATGCCAACCTCTCAAAACACCAGCGACCCTGCCCCACTGCCCTGTTCCCGGCCTATGAACATTAGCCAAGAAGAACGGAGGCTCATTGCTTCACCCTGGTTTGCTGCCACCTTCTGCCTCGTGGGCCTGGCCTCTAACCTGTTGGCCTTGGTGGTATTGGCTGGTGCCCGACGGGTGAGCAGCTACCGGGCTCGCTCCTCCTTCCTTACCTTCCTCTGCGGCTTGGTGCTCACTGACTTCCTGGGGCTGTTTGTAACTGGCTCTGTGGTTGTCTCTCAACATGCCACACTCTTTGACTGGGCTGGCACCGACCCCGGTTGCCACCTGTGTAGGTTCATGGGTGTAGCCATGGTTTTCTTCGGCCTCAGCCCACTCCTACTGGGCACTGCCATGGCAGCAGAGCGCTTTGTGGGCATCAACCAGCCTTTTTCACGCCCAGCAGCTGCATCCCAGCGCCGGGCCTGGGCCACTGTGGGACTAGTGTGGGCAGCCTCCTTTAGCTTGGGCCTCCTACCTGTCATTGGCCTGGGTCGATACACCATCCAGTACCCTGGCTCCTGGTGCTTCTTGACTCTGGGGTCCCAAGTGGGTGATGTGACCTTCGGTCTGCTCTTTGCGCTGCTGGGTGCCTTCTCCGTGGGCCTCTCCTTCGTCTTCAACACCATTAGTGTGGTCACCCTGTGCCGTGTTTACCATGACCAAGAGGCAGCCTGCCAGCGGCCACGAGACAGCGAGGTGGAGATGATGGCGCAGCTGCTGGGCATCATGGTCGTCGCTACCATCTGCTGGATGCCTTTGTTGGTGAGTGACCTCTGCCTTCTGCCCTCTGCCCTCATCCCTTTGTCCCCCTTCTGGGAGAAGATGAAGGAAGGGGAAATTAGCACTGGTCCTGACCATACAAATCCCTTATAAGAGGCCTCCGATGGAGTGAGCTCTGGACTTGGATCAGGAAAAGTGGGTTCAAACTCCACCGTAGTTACAAACTGTGTTGCTGTTGAGTCATTTCAGTCATGTCTGACTCTTTGTGACCCTGTTTGGGGTTTTCTTGGCAGAGATACTGGAGCGCTTTGCCATTTCCTTCTCCAGCTCATTTTACAGATGAGGAAATTGAGGCAAACAAGGTTAAGTGACTTGCCCAGGGTCACACCGCTAGTAAGTGTTTGAGGCTGGATTTAACACCTGACTTTTCTCAGCCTCAGGTTCCTCTTTTGTAAAATGATGATAATAAAAATAATAATAATAAAATTAATACCTACCTTACAAGGTTGTGAGGATAAAATAAGATAGATAGATAGATAGATAGATAAATAGAGATATAGTTATAAAATGCTTTGCAACTCTCAAAGTGCTATATTAATGTGAGATATTACCATTATGGAGATGGAATCCATTTATGCCCCTTGTTTATGCAAATCCTTTTGTGGATAATTGCACATAGGACAGAGAACACCAATACAGGGAGAAACTCTAGAACACCAAACATTCAAGGTAGAAAGGACCTTAGAATGCAGAATGTTAGGGGCAGAAGCTGTGGGTGAGGTGAGGCTGGAGGAGATGTGAGGGTGAGAGGTGGGGATGAATTGCAGAATGCAAGTGCATTCATTGTAAGACAAGGGGCTCTTACTGAGCTAGGGGAGGAGAGGAAAAAGGAGAGAATCTCATAGGTAGAAAGGACCTTAAATTGTAGAATCACATAGCTGGAAGGGACGCTAAGCCATGGAAAATCAGGCTCATTAGAACACAAAATGTCAGACCTGGAGGGGCCCTTAGAACACAGGATGTCAGAGCTAGGAGGGCACTTAGGACACAGACTATCAGAGTTGAGGGAGCCCTTAGAACATAGAATGCTAGAACGGGAAAGGCTCTTAGAACACAGGATGTCAGAGCTAGGAAAGCCCTCAGAACACAGGATGTCAGAGTTGGGAGGGCCCTTAGAACACAGGATGTCAAGGCTAGGAGGGCCCTTAGAACACAGGATGTCAGAGATGGGAAAACTCTTAGAACACAGGATGTCAGAGCTGGGAGGGCTGAGAGACCAGTCAGTCTGTCATTCAGTCAAATAAACATTTCACCTCTCTCCTACAAAGTCCGAGGCCTAGGAAGGGAAGGTCACAGAGTGAATAAAGGGCAGATCTAGGACTTACTGGGACCCCTGACCCTCCCAACTAGAGTTCTTTCCAACCAACTATAGTTTCCAGGAATTTTCTTTGTCAGCTTGCTGGAAATTGAATACCTATTTTCAATGTAATAGGTGGAGGAACTCAGCTATTCCCCCAGCTCCTCAACCCAGTTTTCTGTAAATTGAATAACCTGCCCTCAGGCAAGCTGGTTTGTTTAGCTGGCTTATTGGGGGTGGGGGGTAGGGGGGCAGATGGAGGTAGCATTATTGTCTAATGGGTTTTCTCAAATCAAGGCCTGACTACCAGCATCAGTGTTACAGATCATAAGTAATTCATCAGCTCCTTCCATGTCAAAACTGTGTTTAAAAGGGAGTAGAAGCTCATTCGTGTGTAAGGTCCCTTCCACTCCCTTGGCCTCAATTTCCCCAGCTATAGAATGAGAGGGCTTAACTGGATAATCCCTCGGTCCTTTCTAGTTCAATTCAATACACATTGATTGAGTACCTGCTGTGTGCGAGGCAAGAAGCTCACGGCCGGGAAGCCCAGCAGAAGCATCACATGGTTCCTGCCATCAAGGGGTATCGGGTCGAACAGTCTGGGAGGGTGTTACAAATGCACAAAGAACCAATGGAAAGAGGAGTGTGATAGAGCACAGGAGAGCCAAGCCCAACGCGATGGGAAATTTGAGGACTGAGAGATCATTTACACTTGGCAGCCAGGGGAGTGGAAGGGGCCAGAGGAGGGGCGAGGGAGGTGTCAGAGATGGCTTTAGGATGGCGTCTCTGAATTGGGCCTTGAAGGAAGGAAAGTACCCAAACAGATGAAGATGGTAGAAGGTGGAGGGGGGATGAGCAGAGGAGAAGGGAAGTGGCTATTTCAGTGGCTTGGAGAGAGGGGGGAAATAATCAAATGGTCAGGAAAAGGTAGCAGGAGCTACACAGAGCAATGAGAGGAATAGTGTAAGAGAGGCTGGAAAGATGAGTTAGAAATATTACGCAAGTACATAACCCATAGCCATCTTGTGGGAGGGGGGGAGTATGGGAGGGAAGCAGAAAATTTAGAACTCAAAAAATTTTTAAATGAATGTTAAAAATTGTCTTTACATGTAATAGGGAAAAAATTAAATACTATATTAAAAGATAAAACAATTTTTTAAAAAAAGAAACAAAAAAAATATTAGGTGAGGCCATAGGTTGTAAGACTAGGAGCCACTGCTAGGGAAGGGTAGAGGTTAGGGATAGAAGGAAGAGAGAAGGAGAATAAGGGAGCGCTGGGGGCAGCAGGGAGGGGGTTAAAGTCTAACTGCAGAGGGTCTTTGAAGGCCAGGGTCCTAAGTTTAAACTCTATTCAGTAAGCAGTAGAGAGACGTTGAAGCTTTTTGGAAAAAGGAATGATCTCACCATAGACATGTAAAGGAAGGTTACTTGGACACCCAGAGTTTAGATTGAAGAGGAGGCAGGAAGAACAGTGAGAAGTATCTTACAAGAGTTGAGGGGAGATGAGATGAGGGATTGACCTGGGACATCTTAAGAGTGGAGAGGAGGGACCATATGTAAGGAGATAGCACCGAGGTGGAAAAGATGGAACTTAGCAATGGATTAGATGGATAGCAGGAGGGAAGGACTAGGAAAAGTCAAAGGTAACATCGAAAGTTATGCCAAGGATGGGCAGCTAGGTGGCGCAATGGATAGCGCATCATACTGGAGTCAAGAGGACTTGGGTTCAAATCAGGCCTTAGATGCTTATTAGCTATGTGACCCTAGGCAAGTCACTTAACCCTGATCACCTAAAAAAAAAAAAAAAGATATGCCAAGATTGATTGATTGAAAGGTTGGTGTTATCAACAGATAAAGAGAAGTTAGACAGAGAGGGGAAATGATCAGATCAGTTTTAGACACATTGAGTTTGAGGTGCTAGCAAGAAGAGATATCCAGCAGGAGTTAAAAATCTGGAAGTGAAGTTCCAGGGAGAGGTCAGAAATGACATCTATTTTGGAGTCATCTGCCTAGAAGACGTGGAAGTTGAGATCACCAGAGGAGGCCACGAAGAGAAATAAGAGGGCCTACGATAGATCCTAGTGAGAATGCCAGATCTGGGAGGAGTAACTGGGGGCTTTGTTCCAGCTAGAGCATCAAATCTAGAGGGTGCTGAAAGCCCTTGCGGTCCTCTGACATATAAAAACAACAGAGCTTAACGTACTTCATCCCCTTGGCAGTCACCCCAAATAAGTTCCTTCCAGACCCAACCCAGCCCTGCTGTCCTTATCTCTCCTCCTGCTCCAACCCACAGCCATACTGGGCACTGTCCTGGGGTCTCTGATGGAACTTAAAGTGCAAAAATCTGAAGGCACGAGGCATCTTGTGATGTGAGGAATGAATCACCAGGCCACCTACTGCCAAGATTGAGATGAGGAGGTCTGAGGCATCATGGGGAAGTGATGAACTGGGAATCAAGGAGACCTGAATTCCAATGCCACCTCAGATACTTACTGTGTGACCATGGACAAGTCATTTAGCCACTATGAGCCTCAGTTTCCCCATCTGCTAAATGAGGAGGCTCCATCTCTAAAATCGATGATCATATCATCACTTCCTCACTCATTTACCTGTTTCTTCCCCATGTGGTACTACTACCCCTAGCTTTCTGTACCGTCTTCACATTGATGGTAGATGAGCTCCAGCCCTAGCCATGGGGTGGTAAAGGACCTATGCTGATATATTAAGGTAGTAAGTCTGGCTGTGCATGGGGTTGACATTGACTCAGGTTTGGCTGAACAGGTGTCCTCCTCCACTGACAAAAATGATCCTTAGGGGGCAACTGGGTAGCACAGTGGATAGAGCACCAGCCCTGGACTCAGAAGGACCTGAGTTCAAATATGGCCTCAGACACATAACACTCACTAGATCTGTAACTTGGGGCAAGTCGCTTAACCCCAATTGCCTCACCAAAAACATAAATAAATTTTTTTTAAATGGTCCTTATATACACAAGTGATCCCACCGAAAAAAAGGAAAAATCACAAACCCACATGGTCTGGCGTCCTTTGTATGTGGAAAAGACATATCCACTCTGCCTGCCTGGATCTGTGAGCATAAGTACTGTCCTGGATTCCCCTACTCACCCCTTAAAAAATCCATTTGAAGACATCTTTCATCCCACTTACCCCATAACCATTTGGGGCTGCCCCAGGCACAGGAATCACTAGATGCCATGTTTTAGGGGTAGCAGGGGAGGATAAGGAACCAGTAAAGGAGAGAGATGTTTAATCAGGAAGAGAACCATGACAGAAGGGTGTTATGGAAGCCAGGGGACATGAGGGTATCAAGGACAATTCAGTGTTCAGTGCTGACAAGAGGTCAAGGAGAATAGGGACAGAAAGAAGACCATTGAATATGATGAAAAGGAGATTTGAGAAAGTAGAGGGGACGTAAACCAGATTGCAAGGGGCAGAGGAATGGGGAGGTGAGGACAAATCAGAGTGCATTTAAGGTGTAAGATCCTGTTTCTAAGAGTCTAAGGACCCTTCCGCCTTGGATGTTTTATATTCTTAGGCCCCTCCCAGCTCTGATATTCTATATCTTAAAGACCATTCAAGCTCTGATGTTTTGGGTTCTCAAGTTTTCCATAACTGATTTCAAGTCTGGGCAAATGGGAGACAAGTTCTAGAGACAGAGTTAGCCATGAGGCTGAGTTATTTCTTGAGTTATTCCCTTAGAAACACACAAGCACCAGTTACCCCTCCCCTGTCTGTTTTTGTCGACAAGATCCAAAGGGAGCTCCAGGAGGGAAATGCATTTCTTGGCTATGAGCTGTAGTGGAGAAATACGATGCTTCCCCCGGGATTTGGCTGGTGCCCGGGGTCCAGACACCCTGCCTGCTCTGCCAATGTCTGGCACTGAAAGCTCCAGGGACGCCTAGGGAAGAGAATGGGCTGGGTATCATGTCCCCATCCTGACCCTCAAAGAACCCCTTCCAACCCCCCCCAAATCTGAGCCCTTGACGAGGCTTTAATTCCATATAATTTATGCCTCACTTCTCTCAAAAACACACATATGTGTTCCATACACATGCTATGCACATGGGTCAGGTGACAATATTAAGGGGGGGGTTAGTGGTGATGTTCTCCCCCAACACTCCCTTCGTGGAGCTGTCATAGAACTCTGTGGGTGATGGATAGCTCTGCCCTATACATATATACATGCATGTGCCTGATGGAACGTACAACCAGATGGGCTGCAGAAACATTGAAGGGACCCATAATACTCCTCGCCCTCTGAGACCATGAAAACATTCAAGAGATCTGTTAATGATAATCCTAAGACTTTAGAACACAGAAAGTGAGAACTAGAATGGAACCCAGCCCAGAGAATGCCAGAGCTGCGAGGGCCCTTAGAACACAGAACATAGAATGTCAGGGCTAGAAGGGAATTTAAAACATGAAACACAGGATGTCAGAGCTAGGAGGGACCTTAGAGCATAGAACACAGAATGTCTGGACTAGAAGGGAACTTAGAACATGGAATACAGAATGTCAGAGCTGAGAGGAACAATAGAAATCATATTGTCCCATGCCTCATTTTGCAGACAAGGAAAAGGGGGCCCACAGAAGTGGGGGGAAGGGGAGTGACCACACAGAATCTCAGAATTTCAGAGCAGGAAGAAGTCCTTATGGCCGTCCAGCCCAGCCCACACTTGACAAGAACCCCCTTTCCAACATATATAAACAGTGCAAGAGCTTTTGCTTGAAGAACTCCAAGGAGGCAAGAGCCCACTCCCTCATTTTAAAGATAAGGAAACTGAAACCAAAGAGGATAAATGACTTACCCATGGTCACACAGATAGTAATGGCAGACAGGCAGGACTTGAACCCGTGTCCTGTCTTCAAAACCAGTGCTCTTCACCCAGTGCTCCTAGTTCTGCCCTGTCAGGCCAAGCAGAACAAAGCTGACTCTTCTTGTACACAGTAGAATTTTGCACCAGACTTGCCCAAGGTCACACAGCTAGCTAGCAGAGAAAGCAGGTCTCCTGACACCTGGTCCAAAGCTCTTCCCCATTACTCCCAGGGTCCTAAAGTAGGGGTTAGAGATCTCTGAGGACCTTAGTAGAGTTAACACCTCCTTCTCCAAGAAGGAATCCCAGAACATCTCTCCATCACGTAGAAGCCCAAGTGAAGAGAATAGCCAGCCTCAGAATGTGATAAGGCAGGGCCACATGCCTGGGCCCTAGCCCCAGAGCACACCCCACTCTGGCCAAAGACCCAGGGGTCGGCCATTCGGGGCTGGGGAGATCACCCCGCCAGCACGTCGGCCCCCCAGCTCATTCTTCCCCTGTCTTGCAGGTCTTCATTGCGCAGACGGTCCTTCAGAGCCCACCCGTGATGCTCCCCAGTGGCCAGCTGCCCCGGCATGCAGAGCGTTTGCTCCTCATCTACCTTCGGGTGGCCACCTGGAACCAGATCCTGGACCCCTGGGTCTACATCCTGTTCCGAAGGGCCGTGCTAAAGCGTATCTACCCTCGATTGACAGTTCGGCGCTCCATCCCCTCTCTGGATACAACCATCCCCCACTCTCTGCAGCCCAAGTGCACCGAGGAGACACAGCCACAGTAGCCCCCACTAGAGAACAGGGGGCACAGAGGCCAATCAGAGCTGCTGGTGGCAAGAACACTGGGCTGTCCAAGGGCTAAGTCTGGGAGGGGGCTGCCATCAAGAGAACACAGATTCCAGGCTTAGCAAAGTGAAGCGGACCCTGCATTGTGGACATGTGAACAAGGTGGGAGTGAGGTAGGAGTAGGGGGCTTGGGGTCAGAAGGTGAGCCCTAAAGAGATATCTAGGTTCAGCACCCTGGACCCCTGGTGACCTTGTCCTCTCCATTGCACTCCTGCCCCCTCCTAATAATTAAACTCCCTTGCCCACCCTCCCAGTTCTCCATCTTTCTGATCTGATTGATCAAGTCTATGGGTGTGAGGGGGGGGAAGGCATTCAGGGAAGACGGCGGGGGGAGTGGAGGAGGAGGCGCCCTGGCTCTGGTCGCTATCATGATCCCTGCTTTGAATGGAAGGAAAAGAGGGGCAGGTTCTGAGGACCCTGACGGACCGTTGTGGCCTTCCTACCCACATTTTAGAGATGAAGAGACTTATCCAAGGTAGCGGGAGACACTCTCCAGGTCACAGAAACACAGACTGTCAAAGCTGGAAAGAAACCCTGACCTCTAGAACAGAGAATCCAGGAGCTGAAAGGTATCCTAGAGACCAATGCCTTCATTTTGCAGATGGGGACACTGAGTCTCAGAAAGACAAAGTGACGTGTCTAATGTCACCCAGCAAGTTGCCGGCAAAGCCAGAACCAGAACCCCAGATCGAAATTCTTTCCTTTTTTTTCCGGGGAAAGGCCCTGGAAAGGTCTTTCCATCCATACCCACACCCCTCCCTACTCCCAACCTCCATCAGCCTTCTTCCTTTAGCCAATAAGGACACATCCAAACATAGGAATTGCTTTTAATCTTCACATGCCTCAAGGTACAGATAGAAGCAACTGGTTGAGCACTGGGGGGACCTAGATACCCCTTCTCCCCAGCTCTGGATCCCCTTACGGGCCTCTGAGCCAAAGACTCAGCAGAGGCCAGAGCCAGAGGAAACTGAACCCCCTGTTTCCATCTGGCCCCCCCGGCTCCACCTGATTCCGATATCTCCTCCTGGGCCCTGGGCCCAGCTCCCTGGGACCCAGGCACTCTGGGTAAGAGGAATAGAACCACCTTGGGGAGGGGTCTGTGACAACCCACCCTGACCAGGAAAAGACCCCTGAGGAGTAGTAGTGGCCCCCTGGATCCCAGAGCTGGGCTTGGGGGGCCCTGAAGGAGGATAAGGGAGAGGACCTCGGGTTAGGGGGATAGGGACCTTGGGATTGTGTGGGGAACTGGGTCGGGGTCTGGGGCCCGGGATGGAGGGGCCTTGTCTGGAGGCCTGCAGCTGAGGGCTGGGGCCTTGAGCCAGCTTCGAAGGGCTGACAATTTGGGCTGGCTTCTGGGGTCCAGAACTCTGAGCCTGTTTGGGAGCTGGCATCTGGGAGTGGATGGCCACAGCTAACTTTGGGGAATTAGAAGCCTGAACTTGCTTTGGGGGGTCAGATGCCCGTGCTGATTTCTGGGAGTCTGGGCTATCAACTAGCCTCTCAAGGCCAGTGCACTGAACCTGTTTTGTGGGGTCAGAGAGCTGGGCTAGCTTTGGGGGGCTAGAGAACTGAACCTGTTTTAGGGGGCCAGAGGGCTGAGCTGGCTTCTGGGGGATAGCAATCTGAGCCTGTTTGGGGGGATCAGAGAGCGGAGCCAATTTCTGATCCTGTTTGAGGTCAGAAGGCTGGGCTAACTTCTGAAGGCCAGAGCAATGAGCATGTTTTAGGGAGTCAGAGGGCTGGGATGGCTTCTGGGAGCCAGAGAATTGAGCCTGTTTTGGGGGGCCAGAGGGCTGAGCTGACTTCTGGGGAGCAGAAAATTCAGTTTGTTTGGGGAGATCAGAAGGCTGAGCCACTTTCTGGAGGGTAGAATGCTGATCTTGTTTTGGGTCAGAAGACTGGGCTGACTTCTGAGGGTCAGAGCAATGAGCATGTTTTGGGGGGTCAGAGAGCAAGGCTGGCTTCTGGGGACCAGAGAATTGAACCTGTTTTGAGGGGCCAGAGGGCTGAGCAGACTTCTGAACGCCAGGGAATTGAGCCTGTAATAGGGGGTCAGAGGGCTGGGCCAACTTCCGGGGGCCAGAGAATTGAACCTGTATTGGGGGGTCAGAGGGCTGAGACAACTTCTGGGGAGCAGAATCCTGATCCTGTTTTGGGTCAGAACACTGGGCTGACTTCTGAGAGCCAGGGTACTGAGCATGTTTTGAGGGGTCAGAGAGCAGGGCTGGCTTCTGGGGGCTAGAGAATTGAACCTGTATTGGGGGGTCATAGGGTTGAGCCAACTTCTGGGGAGCAGAATGCTGGGCCTGTTTTGGAAGGTCAGAAAACTGGGCTGACTTCTGAGAGCCAGGGCACTGAGCATGCTTTGAGGGGTCAGAAAATTGAACCTGTTTTGGGGGGTCCAAAGGCTGAGCCAACTTCTGGGAGACACAGTGCTGGTGCTGTGTCAGAGAGGCAGAAGTCTGGGCTGGCTTCTGACGACCGGATAACTGAGCCTGTTTTGAGGGGTCAGTGATCTGGGCCAGCTTTGGAGACACAGAGTGCTGGGTCTGCTTAGGGTGGTCAGATGGCTGTGCTAATTTCTGGGGGCAAGAGAATTGAACCTGTTTGGGGAAGTCATCAGACTGGACTGGCTTTTGGGGGCTAGAGAATTGAGCCTGTTTTGGGGGATCAGAAAGTTGAGCAGGTTTCACCAGATCAGAGAACCGAACCTGTTTTGAGAGATCAGAGGGCTGAGCCACCTTTTGGGGGCCAGAAAACTGAGCCTGTTTTGGGAGGTCAGAGAGCTGAGCCAGCTTCTGGGGAGCAGAGTTCTGGGCCTGTTTCGGAGGGTCAGAAGACTGGGCTGACTTCTGGGGGTCCAAGAATTGAATCTGTTTTGGGGGATCCAAAGATTGAGCTGGTTTCAGCAAGCCAGAAAACTGAACCTGTTTTGGAGGATCATAGGCCTGGATTAACTTCTGGGGGCCAGATAATTGAGCTTGTTTTGGGGAGTTAGTCATCTGGGACAACTTTGGTGGGGAAGAGTGCAGTTCAGCTGACTGTGCTAATTTATGGGGGTCTAGGGTCTTATCCAATTTATGAGGGTTAGAGCACTGGGCCTGTTTTGGGAGGTCAGAAGTCTGAGCCGACTTCTGGAGGCTAGAGAACTGAGCCTCTTTTGGGGAGTCAGAAGGCTGAACTGACTTTTGAGGGTCATAAAATTGAGCCTTTTGTCGGGGTTCAGAAGACTCAACCAGATTATGAGGACCAGAGCACTGAGCCTGTTTAGGGGAATCAGAAGGCTGGCTCTGTTTTGAGGACCCCAAGGGCAGGGCTGGCTCCTGGGGGCCAGAGGATGGAGACTGTTTTGGGGAGTCAGAAGTTTGGGCTGGCTTCTGAGGACAAGAACCCTGAGGCTGTTTGGGGGGCTCAGAAGGCTGTACCATTCTCTGGGAGCAGGTTATCTGAGCTAACTTTGGGGAGCTAGAGCCTTGAACAGGTTTTTGGGAGCCAGGACACTGAACTTGTTTGGAGGGTTCAGAGGACTGGGATGGCTTCTGGGAGCCAGGAATTGGGGCCATCCTCTGTGAACCAGAGGGGTGGGCTAGCTTTCGGTGGCCAGAGTACTGAGCTTGTTTAGGGGAGTCAGAAGACTGGCCTAGCTTCTGATGGCTGCACTGAGGCTGAGCCGACTTCTGGGGACCAGCTTTCAAAACCTGGGTTGGTGCCTGGGGCTGGGGGACTAAGCTGTGGGTCTTGGGCCAGGGCCTAACAGGCGGGGGCCGGACCAGGGTTTCTGGGCCATCCTGGGTTCCAGGGTTCCGGGCCAGAGACCTGCCTAGCCGCAGGCTTCCTTGGCCTCTCCTATCGCTGCCCACACTTCCACCACAAATTCGTCGGGGAAGGCAAACTCGCCCAAGACGGAGTCCAAGCCGCGCGCAAACTCCTGAGCGCTCTGAGTCTCTTTGGACGTCTCCACCAGAGTTGAGGCTGAGGTAAAGGTAGAGTGAGGTGAACCTGGGAGCCCCAGAGCCCAACTGCCATCCTTCCTATCTCTTGACTCTCATTTTCTCCTTTCCCATTCTGTGTCTCCTGACCCCATCCTCTGATTCATCTCATCCTTCACCTCCATCCGATCCCATCCCTCCCATCCCAGATCCATCCACCACCTTCCCCTGGCTCCAGACTTCAACTAATCTCTTCCTTCTTCCCTACCACCCAGCCTCCTGGGACCCTCCCATTCCTCCCCTCTCCCAATATCTCTCTATCCCTCTCACTACTCCCACGTCCCCTTCCATTCCCCTACCCCTCAGCTCCAATGGCCCCTCCCCACGCCCTGTGGCTCCCACAGCCCCTGCCCCTCCCCAGGGTCCCCACAGGCTTACCCTGGCCCCTTACCCAGGTCTGGGTCCCGGATGCCCATGTAACTCTCCAACAGGTCATCCACCCTTCGGGCAGCCTCCTCCTCAAACTCACTGGGCTGGGGCAGGAGGGAGGGGGTGGGGTCAAAGATTTGGCCCCTGGGTCAGGCAAGGTGGGGAGCATTGTAATCCTTGGATCCGACTATACCCTTCCCTCCCAACTCAGCATCCACCTTATCTTGGGCCCATTGGTGAAACCCCAGGAACCTGGGCTCCTCCTTCTTTCCCTCCCCACCCCACTCACCACCTCCTCCACTGTCGCAGAACCCCGGGCCCGGAGACGAAGAGTCTCCCTCCCACTGGTCACCTTCCCCTCCCCAGGGCACTTGCTGCTCCGGGTCCTCTGGCCGATCATATCTAGAAGACATGATATAGAAAGAGAGTCAGGGGAGGAAGAGTCTAAAACTAGTACTTGTACTGGTGCTCGCTAGAGCACTTACCCTGAGGAGGGCAAGTCTAGAACTCCTTCCTTGTAAGCACTTAAAAAGCTTGTAGCTGATTTTCTCTAGAACCCATTGTGGTTCCAGATTCTGTCCCTCCTAGGCAGCTCTAGAACTCATGGTCATTCCAGAGCTCTCTCCCATGGACAGTAGACAGCCCTGTGTCCCCCAAATATCTCTAAGATCCATAGTGGTTCCAGATATCCTACTCCACAAAGCAGGGACTTCCATGAACTTCTCTAGAAAATCCTTCTTCTGGAACACTAATCCTACCTAAACTTCCTTCCACAGCATTATTCCCTGTCCCACCACCAATTCAGCTACCCCAGAACCTGTTGGGGAACCACTTTCAACTGCTCTTGAATCCAAATGGATGGCATCATAGGAAAGAGCACCTGCCTCAGAACCAGGAGACCTAAGTCCCAGTCTAGTCATTCTACTTGCTAACTGTTGGACTGTGGGCAAATCAGTTAGCCTCTCTGAGCCTCAGCTTCTTCATCTGTAAAATGGGGGTGTTACTGTTTGTGCCACCTTCTTGAGCTCATCCAAGTGCTATGTAAACTTTAACTACTTCAAGGTTTTTGGTGGGTGATTCCAACCTTTATGACTTCAAGTTCATTCATGACTGAAGATATGGCTCCATGAATTGCTATGGCTGAATAAAAGTCCTCACCTCCTGGCCAAACTTCAAGAGGTATGTGCGTCCACACTTCCCTAAGCCTGTCCTGGGACAGCAGATTTACAACCAGCCCCCTAATTCATTCTTGGTAGGACTCGATTATCTCTCCAGCTTGAGTTCCATTAGCAGAGCATTTGAGAGCCCACTGCCCCTTTCAGAGGTAAGACTTAGAGACTGTTGTTCCACTCAGATCCTCCTTGGTGAAGAGGTGGCCCTGGGCTCTTGAAGAATATGCCAGTGGGGCACAAATTCTGACAGGTCTTGCTAAGGCAAAGAGGTAACTAAATTGTACCAAGTATGGGCTCAGAGACAGACTATACGTGTGACACTGAGTCAAACAAAGTGCAAGAGTTTCATCAACAGACAACTGGTCACCAAGTAATGAAGACACAACCAACCACAAAGGCCATCATGAAAGTGTCAAGGTCTCTCCTTGTAGGAAAGAGCCACATTGGTGAGATCTGGGAGCTCTGAAGAATCGGAATGTCAATATGGCTTCTTCTGTCATTAATTCCCAAACCCATCCCTCTGCTGCCCTTAGAGCAAGACTGCTGCTCTAGAACTTGCTTCCTTTCCTGGTTCTCTCTGGACTATTTCAGAAGCCCTTCCACCATGAGCTTCCTTGTCCCACTAGCTTCCTCACCAAAGGCCCTTTTGGGCTGCACTAGCCTCAAGGTGAAGGGCTGGGCCTTGGGCAGCTCCCGAAGCATCTTGGCCACCTCATAGTGTCGGCAGCCCACGATGGTCTGGTCATTGATGGCCTCTATGCTGTCGCCCACGCAAACTGCTTCAATCCGGTTAATGATACTTCCTTCCTTGATCCTCTGTGGGGAGGAGGACAATGGTGAAAGGAAGAGTTCCCCACCACCCCTTCCACTCACCTCCTGAGCCCCATAGCCCCTGAGCATCCAGCCCCATCATCTGACCCAAAGGCTTTCTGAGCATTCTTAGCAATGGAACATATTCCACATCTCCCCACTCTCTCCTAACCCCTGGTTCAGCGATCTCTAAACACTCATAATAGCCAAGCACATTTCCCTGGAGACAAAGGATCTCTAAGCACTCAGAAAACAAGCTCATTTCCCTTGAAGATAACATGTTTTTCAGCATGCCTAGTGACCAAGTACATCACCCTAGACAAGAGCACTCATTGATTGAGAACGTCACTCTGGGGACAAGAGATCTCTAAGCATTCTTGGTAATCAGGCATACCCTCTGTAGGGATGATGAATCTAGGATATTTCTAAAGATTCCTAGAGACTAAAGGCTAGGGATTTTTACACTTTCAGTTAACAAGCACATCTCTCCCTCTGGGAGGGATCTCAAAGAACTTAGTTGCCAAGCAAATCTTTCCCTGGCCAAATTTCCCTCAGATTGGCTAATGATCCCTAAGGGCTAAGGATCAGATTTTCTCCTGCTTTTGCCTCTTTCCCAGATTCCAATGCATGGTGCCCAGGTTTCAAGTTTACCCTCCTCTCCCTTATGGTACCTATTCTCCCCCTTCCAAAACTCCCACTTGTTTAATTCCATTCCCTCTAAGAGCTCTCAAAGCCCTGGAGAAAAGGGAAGCCATCCTCTTGCTGGCTGAAGCTCGTCTATCTCCAATAGAATGTAACAACCTTGAGGATGAAGACTGTGTCATTTTTGTCTTTGAGTCTCTAGAACAGCGCCTGGTACATAGGAAGTGCTTACTAAGTGCTTGTCTATTGGTTGAGGCTGGAGATAAAATAAAGAACCAGGGATTATGATGGGAATAAATGACAACCAATAATAATAAAAAAAAAAATCTGCGGTCTGTGGATAGATTTCATAGGGCCCAGGAACTTGGATGGGAGGGAAAATACCTTATTTTTAGCCTCTAACTGAAATTTAGCATTTCCTTCAATTATTTAAAAAAATATTATTTCTGAGAAGCCATCGAGTGGTTTGCTGAGGGGAAAAAATGTTTGTACAGCACACTTTTAAACTTAATTTACATCATTAACATTTTCTCCATCACTTTCTTGAATCTGGGTAATCCAACAAAGCAACAAATTTAGCACTGATTTGTAGCGTTTGTGGATTTCTGAAGTGTGAGTACTCACGCTGAAAATTTAACAATCAGCTCAGTGAGCTGGTTAGGGCTGGCTCCAACATACTCCTGTTATAGGCTTCATTAGATTGCCAAAGAAAAAGTGGTTAGGGACCCTTGATTTAGGGAAAACATCCAAAAATAGTACAGGACCTGTTGTAATACTATGCAAATAGATCCAAGCTTTTTTTGTAGGGGAAGGGTTCAACTTTAGGGGCCAGTGAGATCACTTCACTCCTATCCGAAGAATCAGTATCCCACGCCCTGACCATATGGTGTGTGGGGTGAAACTGGGAGAGGGGAGAGGGGAAGGGGAGAGGTCAAGAGGTTGCAGGGAGTGGGGGAGTTCCCGAACCTAGAATATCAGAATTGAAAGGGCCCTTAGAATATAACATAAAATGTCAGGGTTCAAAGAGTCCTTAGATCAGAGAACTGAAAGGAACCTTAGGAACCATTCAGAACATCCTCTTCATTTTACAGAGAGGCCCATTTTGCCATTAGGTCCAGAAAGGGAAAGGCATTTACCCAAGCTCATCCAAGAACCCAGGTCTCCTGACTTCCAGCCCATTGCTCTTTCTGTCGTCCAGTCCCCAATACCTTGATGAAGGCATAGCCCGCCCCGTTGTCTGTGATGGTGAGCCCCAACGCATCCTCTGTCTTCGTGACCTCCACCTCCTTGGTCTCACCACGTACATGGGCAAAGATAAAGTCCTCCAGACCAATCTGGCCCCCCAGCAGCCTCTGCATGTCCACCTTGTGGCTGTTGAGAGTGCAAAACAGAATCTGCCTCCCCATCAAGGAAATGGGGAGAGAGGAAGCCACATGGTTATTGGGAGAACTCTGGCCTTCACTCCCCAGCCAGCCCCATCCCAGAGTAACCTAGGCACGGGTTCAATCCCGTTGGAATTCAATCCCGTCTGACAAGTGTTGTACATTCTTTGGGTTTCAGTATGTTGAATTAGATGCTCCCTCTTTCAGAACAGAGAGAACATAAAATGACAGAACAGGGAAGGACTTTAGAGAAAATCCTTAGAACATATGAAATCTCTCTAAGGCCCTTTCCTGTTCTATCATTCTATGTTCTAAGATCCCCCTCTGTTCTGACACTCTCAGTGCCAAGATTTTCTAGTTCTGACATTCTATGTTCTGAGGCCCCTCCCTGCTCTGACATTCTATATGCCACATCCTCCTCCACCTCTGACATTCTATGCTTTAAGGTTCTTTCTTGACATACTGGGTTCTCATGTCCTTCCCAGCTCTGACAGTCCATGTCCTGAATTCTTTCCAGCTGACATCCTACGTTTTGTTCTCCAAGCTTCTTCCAGCTCTAGTGTTCTAGGATTTCAGGAGTCTAAGTGATCTACTTGCTGGGAGATACAGAGTAGGCGTTATCATTTCCATTTAACAAATGGAAAAAGGAACGCCCAGACAAAGGCAGTGACTTGCCAATGGTCACGCAGCAAGCCAGCTGCAGAGCCAACACTGAATCCATGCCTCCTTACACCACCTGGTTGTGGTCCACAATACTCTGGGTCCCCCAAAGAATTTAAAGAACAATATTAAGGAACGCTCTTCTCTTCCCCTTGATGGTCTTTGCTGTCCCTTGGAGTATTCAATGCTTTGGAATCCCCTCTCTTTCCATAGTGAGGCTTCCAAACACCATCTCTATCCATTATGCTTCTGACCACGCAGGGTCACCAAGATAGGCACTTAGAGGCAGCTAAATACCAGAGTTGATACGGTGCTGGGCCTAGAGTCAGGAACACCTGAGTTCAAATCTGGCCTCAGAAACTCATTAGCTATGTGACAAGTCACTTAACCTCAGTTTCCTCTATTGTAAAATGGAAATAATAATAGTACCTACCTTCCAGGATTGTTGTGAGGATCAGATGAGATAATATTTGTAAAAGCGCAAAAAATTAGCGCAATACCTGGCACATAATAGGTGATTGATAAATTAATAAATATTTCCTCCCTCTCTCCCACTTGGGGAGTTTTCTTTGATTCACATTTCTCCTGCATTACTTCTGGATCAGCACCATCTATTTACATCAGGTTATGACCTGGGAGGGTAGATTTAGAGCTAGAATGGAGTTCATTTGAGTCTGACTTGCTCATTTTACAGATGAGGAAACTGAGGCTGGGAAAGGTTAAGAGAATTGCCCAAGATCAGAGGTCAATAGTAACAGAACAGGAAAAAGAAGTGAGGTCTTCTGACATCCTCTTGACTAGACGCTAGAAAACACACTCTTGTAGCCTGGGGTGTTTGGGGACAGAGAGGCAAGGGAAGGAGTAGCAGATGACAGGCTAAGCCATTCAATGATGGTAGCAGCCACAAAAGGGGACAATTTATCTTCCTTACAAAATCACTAAAGTGAAAATATGTTTAATAGGAATGTATATGTATAGGCTATATCAGATTGTGCACTGTTTTGGGGAGAGAGGTGGGAAGGGAGAGGGAAAAAAATTTGAAGCTCAGAAGCTTATGAAAGTGATTGTTGATAAATAATAACAATAAAGGTGACAATTTAGGGTAGACCCGCAGGGCTTTGAGCACCATAGGAACCTCACGGGTCTTTGTCGAACTGCTTTGTCGAGTCTCTGACCTTACGGAGTCGAGCAGGTGCGTTCGAAGTTTTATTAAGATTTTGATCTGATGATGGTCAGGGATCAGGGAAAGTTTATAGCAAACAAAGTCCTGGGGCCAAATACAAAGTCTCCAGATTGGCTGGGGGTGGAGGGAGAGTACGGAGAGTCCAGGGATCCAGCCTCCACTGTCTCATCCTAAACACGCAGCTCCAGAGGCTCCTTCCTGCCTCTCCTCTTCCTCACAGCCTAGAGTTCGGAGCAGATCCTGCTGGCTCAGAATCCATCTCCCATCCCCGCCCACCCTCCGGCTCTTTCTTTTCTGAATCTCTCCTGAGATCACCTGTATTCCAATTTCTGGTGACTGAGTGCCCCTATTTCAAAGTTGAAATCGTGCCTCCCCCGTCCCCAGGGATACTTTGCCACCCTGCTGGAGATGCCCTGGTTCCCCTGAGGTCTGGAGATGTCAGCCCCTGGAATCTGGGCATCAACCGGTAGGTTATAGCTGATGTTAGTTGCCCTCCTGTAAGAACAAGGATTACTAAAGCTTGGCTCAGCTAAGTGGATACAGCACTGGAACGGGAGAGAGGAAGATCTGAATCAAAATCCTGTCTGGGAGACCCTGGACTGGTCACTTAGTCTCTTTCAGTCTGTTTCCTCATCTGTAAAATGAGAATAATAGAGGAGCCTGAAGTCAGGAAGATCTGAATTCAAATCTGGCCTCAGTCTGACCCCAGGCAAGTCACTTAACACTGTTTGCCTCAGTTTCCTCATCTGTAAAATCAGCTGCAGAAGGAAATGGTAAACCACTCCAGTATCTTTGCCACAAAAACCCCAAATAGGGTCATGCAGAGTCGGACATGACTGAACAACCACAACCAGGATCAATCAACATTTATTAAGCCCATACTGTGTTCGAGACACTGAGCTAATCAATGGGGATCAAATGAGATCACTTTACAAACATCTTCAGTGCTATAGAAATGCTGTCTATTGTTATTGTTAGTGTAAAGCATTTTCTATACCTGATCTTTTTTGAGCCTCACAATGACTCTGGGAGGTGGGTAGTACAACTGGGATCATAGCATCAGAGATTTAGAACTGGAAATGACCAAAAGGGACTTATCCAAGGTCGCACAGCACAGGAAAGAGGCAGAAATCAATCAACCAATAAATATGTGTCAAGCACCTACTATGTGTCAGGCACTGTGTCAGAATACAAATACGATGAATGAAATTATCTCTGCTCATAAAGAGCTTACAAATCTAACATGTTTTTCATTACTATCCCCATTTAACAGATGAGAAAACTGAGGGTCAGAGGGAAATGACTTGCTCCCAGTTAGTAAGGATCAAGGTTAGGAGTCTTAGGGCTCCAAAGGCCATTACTCTCTTCCCTACACCACACCCGCCAGGAATGAGCACCCGGATCTCCACGGATCTGAGATCCACCACCCTAGCCAGGGATCTAAGAACTGGGATGCGGGATCAGCTCACCTCAGTGGGGGAGATGCCGAAGGCTTCGGCAATCTTGGCATACAGCTCCCGGACATTGGTGAAGCCCTCAATCTTGCCCGTGGGACTGCCATGAGCCAGCTGGGTGTGGAACACCAGTCGGGGCCGGATGCGAGGGGCACTGGGGACCGGGGCTGCCTGCTCAGCAGGTGAGGGAGGGGGTGGCCGGGGGGCAGAGGGCTGGGCCCCCTGTGCCTCCCGGGCCCCTCCACTCTCCATGGGCTCGCCCAGTCACACAGGGGGCCCCAAGCGTCCGACGGCGCCGGCCGGATCCCGGCTGCTTCCTTCCCCCCCTTCCCCTAGCCGCCCCCGCCTCCTCCTGCTGACAGCCGAGCTCTGGCCTGTAACACAAGCCCAGGGGACAGCGGCGGACACAGGGAACTCGATCCCGGTCCTAGGTAACTGATACCTAGAGAGGGAGGAGCCAATGAAGGCCCAGGTGGTGATGGGGGGGGGGGCAGGTGTCCCTGCACCTCTGACTGCCCAGTACTGCTGCTCCCTCTCCTGGGGCCTTGACAGTTGGTACTCAAGGGGGAAGGAGGACCAGATGGGTCCTCTGCACTCTCCCCACATGGAATCACTGTCAACTTAGAGCTCATCCAGAGTAGCTACCCTTTACCAAGGAACCTGAGGCCCAGACAGAGAGCCTTTCCTAAGTTCCCAAGTCAGAGCGATGGCCCTGAACCTAGGCAGGTGTTCTGCCTTCCCACCATAGATGGCTTCCCAAACTTCCTCGTTCTAGTCGGTGCAGGGAAGAGAGTTCCTGGACCTGCAGTTAGCATGCTCGGCTCTGTCCACTCCCTTGGGGCACCTGGACCTGTTTCCCCTTCGGTAAGATATTACCTGCCTGCCTCCCAAGAGGGTCAGGAGGTTTAGAGATAGCCCAGACATTATCATGCAAATTGGGGGGACTGTTGAGGCCTGAGGCTCTGCCAGGTCCTCTCATTCCCCTGATAACGAGACCCGCCCTTACAGGGGCCAACCCTACATTGGGTTGTCTGAGCTGGGGTGAGACCGGTCCAAGGGTAGGTCAGTAAGGGTGGGGCCTTCGGGACCGGCTGAGCGATCTTCCAGGACGCAGCCTGGAAACAGCACCCAGAGGCCAGCACGGCACCTCAGAGGGCAGGGCCCAAACACCCAGGCGCAGAACTGGAGTCAAGGTGGCTGCTGCTCCAGGCCGGCTCTTCCCTGTTATCACCACCCCCCCACCAACAAACTCATCAGACAGAGACCCACAAATAGATTTGAGCTGAGTCGATTTTTATTTAAAAAGTTGATTACTGTAGTCACAACTGCTGCTTCCAGGAAAGCCTGCGGGCTATAGAGGGAAGCTGCCTGGCTCCCGATACATGGGGAGGCAGGGTGGGGAATGGAGCGGGGAGGCATGGCCTGGGGAAGAGACGGACAGGAGTGAGGAGTCCTAGGAAAGGCCTTGATTTTGTAGATCGTGGGGAGCCACTAAATCTTCTAGAAATCCCAGGCCCAGGAGAGGCTCTGACCCTCCCCTCCCCCATCTCCCATTCTGGGAGGGAGGGAGCTATCAGAAGGTAAGCTAAGTCAATGAGAGAAAGAGAAAGAGAGAGAAAGTGCAGGAGAGGGGGGTCCAGAGACGGCACTAGCTCCCATGTGGTTAGATGTGGTGCGGTGCTATGTTGGATTTGTGTGAATTGGTTGCATGTGCCATGGGTCCTATCTGTGCCCAGGTGCTGTTATGGGCACCACCCATACATTGGACTGTGGGTTGACACATGGCACATGTTCTCTTAACCCTAGCCCATGCAGAGGAAAGGAAAAAAAGTTTAGAAGAGCTTAGAGATCACCCTGGAGGTTGGTGGGGTGGGACACAAGCCCTGGAGAAGGCAGGAGGATCCAGAGGCGGGGGCTTTCCCCACCCCAAGAAGGCACAGACAAGACTCCCCAAAACCCATCGAGCACCTCCCCACCCCCTTGCCCTGGGTCCTGACTCAGCTCTGGGGCTGGGCAGGCCCTGGAGGAGGTACAAGGAGGCCCAAGGCTGGGCCCTGCCCAGTGACCTGGGAGAAAGAGGGACAAGGGGCAGGACTCAATTGCTGGGACTGATCCTTCCCCAGGATGACTCTGGATCCACAAGGGCCCTTCCTCTGGCCACTACTCACAAGTGCTCACTAAAGACAGACAGGAAGGAAAGGGCTCGTCAGTAAGAAGAGGGGAGGAGGAGCCCCCCCACCAGCCCTGCCAAGACCCCACCCTGTACCGAGGCACCTCCCTGAGCCCCACCCATCAGGTCCACCTCCTCAGAACAGATCTGGGCCTTGCGGGGCGGGGGCATCCCTTTTGTGGTTTCCACTAGTAGTTGGGTAAGGCAGGTTCCAATGACATGCCCTCTCTAGGTAGATCCCACCCCACCTAGCTGATCTGGTGGGAGGGGTGCCCTCTCCCCATCACCTACAGACCCTGCCCAGGGGAATGTTCCCACTAAGATCCCCTGTAGGGCCTGCTCAGTTGGTCCCCTACCTGGCTATCTGAGACAGGATCTCCTTGATGCGCACAATGAGCTTCTCATGCTGCAGGGGGTCCCTCTCAATGGCCCCATGCAGCTTGGCCATATAGAAGTCCAGGGTACTGAGTGTTGGCGTTTCCCCAGTCCCTGGTGGGAAGAAAAGGGAGGAGAATGCCAGGGTCCTAGAGAAGATGTGTTCCCCACCTCCCACAC